TTACACATAGCAGGAATTGAGCAATTTTCTCAAAAAAAAGGAAACAAAATCCACCCACCGCGTAATTCACAATATTTTCAATTGTATTTTCAACCTCCGCTTGATTCGATCTCTCGATGACGTTTTATGATCACAGTCTTGACACCTACGCTGGTAAAAGTATATCTTGTTTGGCTGCTGTTAAACAATAAATTTTACCAAACTCCCACGCAACTGTCACGATATTGGGTAAATAATTCCAGTGATATTGATATATACGGGTTGTGAAAATCTTTGTCCCGCGATACTTTTCAATGAATTTAAAGCCGTTTCAGTAGCGCTGCAATTTTATCGCAATAAAATTTACTTCGTGCTTCTGGAATTGATGGAGTATTTTATTTATTGTTTATAGTTTATGAATATGTTTATTTTCACTATTTTTAAAAAATATTTCTCTGGGCCATTTTTTATTGACATTTATCTTTGGACCAATTATTTTCATCAATGATAATTGGTGATTTTAATTATTAGTATCATTACTTGCTGGTACCATAATTTTTTGTTTTTGTTCTTTACTTCTCCCATTATTTGTTTGTACCATTATTTTTTTGAAACATTCTTTGATTGAATCATTATTTGTTCGTACCATTTGTTTTGTTAGTACCATTACTTGTTGGTACCATTACTTGTTGGTACCATTACTTGTTGGTACCATTACTTGTTGGTACCATTACTTGTTGGTACCATTACTTGTTAATACCAATACTTGTTGGTACCATTACTTATTGGTACCATTACTTATTGGTACCATTACTTATTGGTACCATTACTTATTGGTACCATTACTTATTGGTACCATTACTTGTTGGTACCATTCTACGTTGTTACTATTATTCATTAACATCATTATTTATTTTAACCATTTTTCATATCATCTTTTGTTCGTACCATTGTTAGCTAGCATCATTACTTTTTGGAACCATTTTATTATTATTTTTTTGGAAGCACTATTTGCTTCTACCATTTTTTAAAGTAACCATTATTTTTTGTATACCATTATTAGTTGCCAATATTATTTGCTAGAACATTTATTTGTTTATCTTTGGTACCATTATTTGTTAGTCTTAATAATAATTGGTACCAACATTTGTTGGACCACTCATGGTACCATTGATTTTTGGTTCAACCAATCATTGTCTTTGTTAATTCGTGGTAACTTGAATCTTTGGTATCATTAGTTTCTGGTACCACTAATATTTGGTACATCTGTTTATCGTTCAGATTGATTTTTAGTATATTTAACCTTTGGTACCGTTAATTTCTACTACCACTAATTTTTAGTAAATCTCAACCAACACTTTGGTTAATTATTGCTATATTTAATCTTTGGTACCATCAATTCCTGGCACCATTTGTTTTTAATTCACCTAATCATCGCTCTTGATAATTTTTGGTTTACTACAACTTTGGTACCATTAATTTTTGCTTAATTTTTATTCCCCTTCGAGCACAAGTTAGTTTAAAAAGTCTGAAAGATAAAAATTTAAGTAAAAGAAAGCAACCAAAAAAATGATCCAAAAGGAAAGTACTGACACCGCATCATTTTTTCCAAAACAGTAAAGAGAAAGAAAAAGAAAAAGAAATTCATTTCTGACATTCGACAGTACAAAATAAATGAGCGCAGGATGTACGATAAATGATTGATATTTTTTTTTGCTTGTTTTCTTTTTTTCCTCTAACTATATAAACATACATCTAACAAAGTGCACTATCAAAATTATCGAAATATGCCTTCGATCAATATCTCAATATTTGAAAGCGACGATCTTTCACCCTTGGTTCCTGTTTATTTATTGGCTTATTATATCGCAATAATCTACTCTGGGGAGATTAACTTGCGGCAGTGGCGGCGGCAGGTTCTACATGCTCATCGTTTAAAAAGAGCTGCGTGAGTGGTCACAGTTAAGTTCTACAAGGCGCGTTCGCAAATGTCCGTTCGTGTTGTAGATAAGCCACCCGCATCGAGGAACTCGTTAGATGCAAGTTTTTCAATTAAAGTTCCTGTTTTATTCTGTATTTTTTTTGTTTTTTTTTTTTTGTTTTCTTTTTTGCAAAACTAAAATGAAGATTAGTGATTCTCCAATGCAATATCGAATCATAATTATTAATTCTTGAATAGGTTGCTACCATGTACTTTGGAGGGCGAAACATATCTTCAACTACATATCGCGTGCTATTAAGTGCGTGTAAATTTAATAAGATTATTAGTAACCAGTCTCGATACATTACAATCTTTAATAAATTACCCGGTTATTAAATGATATATCGCTCAATAATTGTGGAATCACTGATAAATACTTGAATACTTGAAGGGAAATTAAAATAGTAAAATGGTAGAAAGAATGTATTTAAATTAGAAATCGAAAATAATTAAAATTAGAATTTTAATTCGGAAAAATTTTAATTAGTAGATTGAAATTAGAATAAACTGAAATTTGGAAAATTTAAATTAGACAAAATTTAAAGTAGGAAAAATTACAATCAGACAAAATTTAGTTACGAAAAAATCAAAATCAAAAGGAATTAAAATTAGGATAACTGAAATTATGTCTGATTTTAATTTTTCCTAAAATTGAAACTTTGTCTATTTTTAATTTTTCTTATTTTACTTTTCCTAATTGTAATTCTTTCTAATTTTAATTTTTCCTATTTTAAATTTTGTCTGAGATTTTTATTTTTCCTATTTTAATTCTTTCTTTTTTAAATTTTGTCTGATTTTAATTTTTCCTAATAGAAACTTTGTCTACTTTTAACTGTTCCTAATTTTGATTCCTCCTAATTTAAAATTTTTCCTTATTTCAACTTTACCTTATTTCAATTTTTTCCAAATTAAATTTTGTCTGATTTAAATTTTTCCCAACTTAAATTTTGTCTAATTTCAATTTTCCAAATTTTAATATTTTTTTTTTATTTAAATTATTTTTTACGTTTACTTTAAGACAGGAATTTTCTGAGATCACTATATAATTCCTATTATGAAGTTGTATATCTTCCCCGCAACTGTTATACGGGTCCATAAATAGTTTTTACATTTGCGTGCAATCTAATAGAAATAGAAGTTAAAAGAAAAAAAAAAAAGAAAATAACTCTGCGACAAGTTGACCGTAAATGAGAAGCTTTATCTTTTTCACACGTCACAGAATGGAGCTTGGCATTCATTACGGTGTCGTCTCTATATAAATCCTCCTAACTCCCCAGAGTGTATCCTTAATTTACATGGGGTTAGAAAACAAATTTGCTATTCCAACTTGCTGTAATTATCTACAATTCACACGGACCGTGACGGTTTCTTTAACAACTGTGTTTAAACGCGATTCAGACAAATTGCACTTCTCTACGCAGAGTGTTTGTAATTATTATCATCATTACTACCATTAACCATTTTGTAGCATTAATAATTTTTTTTTATTATTAATTGTTGGTACCGTTGTTTATTAATTTTAATTAATCATTGGTAGCATAACTTATTGGAACCGCTATAGGTTCTATTATTGGTACCATTTTTTGAAACACTATTGGAACCACTAATTGGAACCATTATTGCAAATATTCTTAGAACCATTATTGATACAATTATTGGTACTATTACTAGTAACATTACTGGTACTACTACTGGTACCACTACTGGTACCACTACTGGTACCATTACTGATACCATTACTGGTACCATTACTGGTACCATTACTGATACCATTACTGGTACCATAATTGATACCGTTATTAGTAAAATACTGGTACCATTATTGATACCATTATTGGTACCTTATTGATACCATTTTTGGTACCATTTTTGGTTCCAGTATTTATTGGAACCATTATTCCTTTGTACCATTTTTTGTTCACATCATTAATTGCTCGTGCCATTATTTATTGGTACCATTATTTCTTGCTACTGTTTGTTGTTGGTACCATTATTTATTGGTATCATTAGTTTTGTAAAAAAGTGGGTGTTACCATTTATAGTAGACTATTACTATTTAGTACCAATAACTATAATAATTTGTTCATTATTATTTAATACCTTTAAAAATAAATAATAATGAAAAGATAATTATAAGAATAGAAAATTAAAGTAGATCATTATTATAATTGTGAACGATATCGAATAATTTAGACAACGAGAAACATAAAAAAACAAAACGACTATGATAAATTCAATGACAATTATAAATTGTGACTGGACGCATTCTTAGCGAATTTGACCTTGATTAGTATTACTCTACAATCATTGAATTTCCAAACAATTGAGCGATTCTTGTGAAATTCACGCTCAAGGATTGTGAGAAAACTTGGGAGTCTTCTCGTTGTTGGGGAAGTAGCGGTTTTGCGCGCAAGTTTTATCGATACGTATACGATTCGACTCGTTTCGTTCCACCTTATCCTTGACATATACGAGCAGAGAATTTATTAGAGATCCATTCGATAGATAATAATACAGTAGCATGCCTATGAAAAGCGATAATCGACATATGAATCACTTTTGTTCAATTGCGACACAAAAACACAAACATTAATAAATTTTCGATAATTAAAAACGACAATAATGTTAAATTGAAATTGCCTAGAAAAGAAAATGAAAAAAAAACAACAACAATAAATAGTTAATTGTAAATGTCTATTGAATCAGAAAACATATTATTTTCAAATAAGAGACAATAATTGGATACACACTCAAAGAGTAATGAAACTGAAGATAAATTCTTCAAGTATTGATTATTAATAGGGAGGAGAGAAAAAAAAAGAATAATCTTTCGGTTTAATTGATTTTATAAAAAATCCTTCAGATGAAATCTCACGCATTGCTCAATGCTATAAATGCCCCCCTTTCATACGTATGGATAATAAATCATCGATCGAGAAATGACAAAAAGAAAACAATTGGAGAGAGGGAGAAAAAAATTCCAACTTTCTTTTCAGATATAAAAACTGATCTGTTTTTCTTTTTTTTTCTTCTGTTTCAGTATCTTCAGCTCTGCCTTTGGCAGATATCGTTCGTGAACGAGATCAAGATCGAGAAAGGGAGCGAGATAGAGATCAAATGCGAAATGAGAGGGAGCGAGAGTGCGAGAGGGACAGGCAACATGACAGAGATCGAAATGCAAGAGTGAGAGAGTCGCGGGACAGGGAGAAGGAGAGGGAGAGACGCGACAGGGAGAGAGAAAGGGAGGTGTCCGTTTTCGTCATGGAACCACCTGATCCCGTTTATGTCTCCTCATCAGCAGCTCTTCTTGCATTACAAAGGATAAAAGAAGCTTCTGAGTGAGTAAACGAAAAAAAAATTCCTTACAAAATTTGGGTTTAATTTTTTATGTTGGTACCACTGATCACTGGCAAGTTTTGATGCAAATAAAAATAATTAAGGAAGATTTCGACTATATCAGCAATTAGTGACATCTATTAGACGTCAATTGAACTCTTTGGTTTAGAGTCAGGTGTTATTCTTAAGATAATTACTCCGATATGGTTGTCGGTAAATAATTATATTTTTGAATTTAATTTTTGATCTGAAAAAATAAGCTGCGTGAACGACTGCACTGTGCATCTGTGAGGACTCGAACCCCAGTTAATAGCTGCCTTTCGCGGGACTAACGCCTACCAATGCACCATGCCAACACAGCCTGGACGTTCACGTTTCTTATAATCTCAGATCAAGCCCATACACTAGTCGAAGAGCTGTATAGTTAATGTAGGAAATTATTTGCTGATTGAGAATTTTAATTAAGGAAGATTTCGACTATATCAGCAATTAGTGACATCTATTAGACGTCAATTGAACTCTTTGGTTTAGAGTCAGGTGTTATTCTTAAGATAATTACTCCGATATGGTTGTCGGTAAATAATTATATTTTTGAATTTAATTTTTGATCTGAAAAAATAAGCTGCGTGAACGACTGCACTGTGCATCTGTGAGGACTCGAACCCCAGTTAATAGCTGCCTTTCGCGGGACTAACGCCTACCAATGCACCATGCCAACACAGCCAACACACTGATCTGAGATTATAAGAAACGTGAACGTCCAGGCTGTGTTGGCATGGTGCATTGGTAGGCGTTAGTCCCGCGAAAGGCAGCTATTAACTGGGGTTCGAGTCCTCACAGATGCACAGTGCAGTCGTTCACGCAGCTTATTTTTTCAGATCAAAAATTAAATTCAAAAATATAATTATTTACCGACAACCATATCGGAGTAATTATCTTAAGAATAACACCTGACTCTAAACCAAAGAGTTCAATTGACGTCTAATAGATGTCACTAATTGCTGATATAGTCGAAATCTTCCTTAATTAAAATTCTCAATCAGCAAATAATTTCCTACATTAACTATACAGCTCTTCGACTAGTGTATGGGCTTGATCTGAGATTATAAGAAACGTGAACGTCCAGGCTGTGTTGGCATGGTGCATTGGTAGGCGTTAGTCCCGCGAAAGGCAGCTATTAACTGGGGTTCGAGTCCTCACAGATGCACAGTGCAGTCGTTCACGCAGCTTATTTTTTCAGATCAAAAATTAAATTCAAAAATATAATTATTTACCGACAACCATATCGGAGTAATTATCTTAAGAATAACACCTGACTCTAAACCAAAGAGTTCAATTGACGTCTAATAGATGTCACTAATTGCTGATATAGTCGAAATCTTCCTTAATTAAAATTCTCAATCAGCAAATAATTTCCTACATTAACTATACAGCTCTTCGACTAGTGTATGGGCTTGATCTGAGATTATAAGAAACGTGAACGTCCAGGCTGTGTTGGCATGGTGCATTGGTAGGCGTTAGTCCCGCGAAAGGCAGCTATTAACTGGGGTTCGAGTCCTCACAGATGCACAGTGCAGTCGTTCACGCAGCTTATTTTTTCAGATCAAAAATTAAATTCAAAAATATAATTATTTACCGACAACCATATCGGAGTAATTATCTTAAGAATAACACCTGACTCTAAACCAAAGAGTTCAATTGACGTCTAATAGATGTCACTAATTGCTGATATAGTCGAAATCTTCCTTAATTAAAATTCTCAATCAGCAAATAATTTCCTACATTAACTATACAGCTCTTCGACTAGTGTATGGGCTTGATCTGAGATTATAAGAAACGTGAACGTCCAGGCTGTGTTGGCATGGTGCATTGGTAGGCGTTAGTCCCGCGAAAGGCAGCTATTAACTGGGGTTCGAGTCCTCACAGATGCACAGTGCAGTCGTTCACGCAGCTTATTTTTTCAGATCAAAAATTAAATTCAAAAATATAATTATTTACCGACAACCATATCGGAGTAATTATCTTAAGAATAACACCTGACTCTAAACCAAAGAGTTCAATTGACGTCTAATAGATGTCACTAATTGCTGATATAGTCGAAATCTTCCTTAATTAAAATTCTCAATCAGCAAATAATTTCCTACATTAAATAAAAATAATAATACCACTGATCACTGGTTGCATTAAATTATGGTGCAAATAAAAATAAAGAAAATAATAATACCGCTGATGATCACTCGTAACATTAAATTTTGGTGCAAATAAACATTGTCATGTTTATTTGCACCAAAAATTAATGTTTTTATTGTTTATACAATAAAAATAATATTCTAATCAATATTTGTGAACAGTGGTTTTCTTGATGTTAATTATCAGAGGTAGCATTAACTTTTAGTACGAATAAAAATAAAAAAAGTAATACCGATGATCACTGGTAGCATTACCTTTGGGACAAATAAAAATAATAATTGTAATAATAATCAAATAATATTAGCAGCTTTTAATGCTATTACTGATACCGGTATCACTAATCATTGGTACCACTAATTTGTTGGTAGCAATAGTAATCATTGCTATCACTAAAAATTGGTATCACTTATTGTAAATCGTTAATGTCATTAATCATTAATGGCACTAATAGTTAGTACCTCAAATGATTGGTACCACTAATCATCAATGTCATTAATCATGGTACCAACGATTTCGTAATATTAGTGATTTGTAGTACTAATTATTAGTACTAAGAATCATTTTTGCCACTAATAATCCTAAGCATTATGAATCGTTGGTACCAGAAATCGTTAGCACTATAAATTGATGTCACCACATATTTTCAGACATTAATTTTTTGCGCCATTAATGTTACTAATAATCATTGGTACTCTGAATCATTGATACCAGGAATTAGTGACTATTAGTGTCACTAATAATCATTAATACCACGAATCATTGGTACCACTAGTAATCATTGTTAACATATAAATTATTGGTCCCAACAATCATTGGTATACTAATAATTATTGATACCACGAATCATTAGTACCAGGAATCATTGGTACCCAGAATCATTGGTACCCGGAATTATGTGTGTCACTAATAATAATCATTGATACCATAAATCATTGGTACCACTAGTAATCATTGTTAACATATAAATTATTGGTCCCAACAATCATTGGTATAATTAATCATTGGTACCACTTATTTATGGTACTATTTATCCGCGGTACCACTAATTTTTGAAATGACCTGTCATTAATAATTGGTACCAGTCACCATTACCATGTTTGCTACCAATTTCAACAGTCGTCGATTCACTAAAAACATTTTATTTTTGGTGAATCTTTTGAGGAAGAAAAACAGATCAATATAAAAATTCTAATCCTTCTGGTAAATTTTCTAATTTTCTCAATTTCTCGCCTCGTAGATAGATATTTATTAGAATGTAGTTACATTGTAATCAAGTCCCAACCGTGAACTATTAATGAAATAAGATAACTTAATAGATATAATTTTCACGCTCCTCTTGTTATGGATGAATGAATTTTATTGTCAGTTTGACATTCATTGGAATCAACCTTCCTCTTTCCTCTTCCCCTGCATAGAAGGGGTGGGGGGGAGGAAAGAATTATGCTTAGAAATATGCGACGTTAAGTCATAATTCATTAAATGCACAGAGAACACGCCTAAGGGTAATACGACAGGATCATGATCTTGTCGTAAATCTCGTATAATTTGTCAGGGAAATCAAAAGATTTTTTTCCCATTTACCCTCCGAAACCTTCACCGGTTGTGTTGTATTGTAGCTTCGTGAATGTATATATGTATGTATTGTGTGCACAGAGAGCGAGACCATTGTCTTCTTTTATGGTCAAATGTTAGAATAATGAGAATGGAGTGCAGCAGTTATCGCTGAATAATATTGCAGCCCTAACGACGTATAACTCGATTACTCAATGGCTCATAATTCACTTGGTCAAATATACGCGAAATATGTATATATATATATATATATATATATATATATACATACACTGACTACGATCAAAATTATCTTGAATCTTTCCTTCCCGCCCAAACTCGATGCCTCTTATTGCGATTAACATTTATTCCGATGAGTAGAAGATTGCCGTTTATCGTCAGAGTTTATAAACATTTGAATTTTCAATTGCATTATTAATGATTTGTTTTCTTACTGAAAATCTTTTTTTCAATCTCTGGTAAATTAGAAACCTGTCGTTTTTATTTTCTTTATTTTTCTTTTATTTTTTTCTTTTTCTTTTTTTTCTATTTCCTTTCATTTTTTTTTTTATTTCTTTTTTTCTATTTTTTTGTTTATTTTCATTTTTGTTTCTTTTTGTTTTGTCTCTTTGTTCCTTTTTTTGTATTTCTCTTTTTACCAAACAATTAAAAAAAACAAAAATTAAAAAATACATGTTAGGGAATTTTTGCGAGAAGAGATTTTCAGTAAACAACTCACACACCAATGTCAAATTGTTTTCGAAACGTGTATTTTTCTAAAGAAAAAAAAAAGAAAGAAACAACAGTGCAGATTATTTTTTTCGAACTTCGACTTGTACGGCACTAAAATTAGATGCTACTAACCGCAAGTTAAATGCAGGGTAAAAGGTCTTTTCTACTGTGGATAGTTGTCGAGAGTCCTCAACACGAAAGAAACCAACAGCTCGTAGCGAGATAACCATTCTTTAACGATAATGGAAGGGGGAGAGTAACGAATATATTTTTTCCCCCTCGTTTCGTTTTTTTCAATGAAACCAAAAATAATTTTACGATCCCTGCTTTAGTTAGAAAACAAGGGAATTTACTTTAAATTACAAGAAAATGGTAATTACATCACGGGGGAATTTTTCACTTAATTTAGAATTATTTTATTCGAGTTTTCTTACTCGAATCAATAATTATTATTAACTATTAGGTATTAATCATTATTACCTATTATTATTATTATTATTTTTTGAATATTTTTATTGAAAAATAAATT